TCTCTCTCTCTCTCTCTCTCTCTCTCTCTCTCTCTCTCTCTCTCTCTGGCTCTCTCTCCATATTTTCCCACTGAATTTCAAAGACAAAAGCTTTGTTTCTATTTCTCTCTTAATTAGTGTAACGATTTTGAGATTTGCACTTGACTTCTAAGCCCTATAACTTCAATTTCTACATCCTAACATTTTTAAAGTGTTTATATTGATGATTCTGTGATTTCACTCCATATGAGTATTTACTAGCCTTTTTAAAGTAGTTCTCAATGTCAAGTTCAATTGCACAACCTTTTCATATAGAGCCCTACAGCTAAAGCTGAATCATCAAAATATAACTTAAAATTTTTCATGTAACTGCCAGGCGACAGCTAGCGATGGTGGCTACAACCTTGTGTTGCTTTCTAGAAAAGGGGATAGCAGAGAGCTCTGATCCTAGTGGAAGACTTCTGGCCATCTGTAACTCCAGTGAGTTGCCTCACAAGATTGTTTTAAATGTCTATGTCCGAATGATCTTATCAGAGACCCTAATCAACCCAGACTTGTCCTGAAATTTGGGTCCAGGTGGCATCATGACTCTAGAAATGTCAGTTATTGCTTTCAACTTCTCCTTGAGGAAAGAGGTAATAATTGCCTGTGTGAGTCTAGACAGAACAGTACCATCTAAATATCTATACAAATAAAGTGTGCTCCAGATATTAATAGAGAGCATATCAGCATTCGCTGACATATTAAGAATAAAAAATTAAGCGTTTTGCCATTGATTGGGATCTGTCAAAATCCCTGTTTTCAGTCCACTCAGGTATTGATATACAACATTAAAAATTTTCTGTTCCATTAATCCTTGCTTTCATGAGGATTCGTACTTTTCTTGTCCTTTCTTCCCTTTTCCAAGCTTTAAGTCATATTTGAGACCAGGCTCTGATATCCTAATGATTGATGACTTTCTACTGAAGTCACTGTCAGTGGAGGAAGAGGTATCTCATCTTCCACATTATTTGGGAAATGCTAAAGACAATGAATTTAAAATATGGGATGGAATTGTGTTTAGATTATTGGGTGATGCCAGGATGAATCTAACGTCCAAGAGCCTGAAGTAAGTTACATCCATCTATCCTGGTTTTCTCTAAAAGAAACAAGTAAGCAGGCAAACAGACAAAACTAAAAAGATTGTTGTTCATTGTCGCTCAGTTTGGGATAAACATAAGATGAGCTGTTTCAGGATGTACCCATTCACAGTCTGGATCCTAAGTAGCAACAGTTCTCAAGATGGTAATGATAACTGTTACACTGAGTGTTGTATTCTTCACCAGCCGGGCATCCAATGACTGAATTTAAGACAAGTATTATAATAGTATGTGATAAAATCCAGAGCCTTTAAGGATGGATGCAGACAGAAAACCATCAAACAGAGTGTCAAAGCTATTGTAAAACTATGTCAATATTAGAAAAGTGAAAATACATCAAAAATGGAAAGTGCAAGGCTTACAGACATTAGTGACACTGTTGAAGTCACAGTACTGGCAAAGTTATACCTGAAAGAAGGGTTTTACTTTCTTTCATTTATCTAGTCATTTTTGAGAGAGAGAGTCTCCCTCTGTAACCAGGCTAGCCCTGAGCAATTCCCCTGCCAAATATCTCTAGTGCTAACGTTGCAGCAATATATCACGATCTTCTCCAGGATTTAGACATCTGAAAGTCTTATCTATTGTATTGATCCATTTGGAAAGGTTAGATAGGCTAAGGCCCACGCAGAGCTCTGTCATGGTACTCCAGCCTGAGGATGTTCCATCTCTGTATCTCCAGGAACTGGTCTCCTTACCTTCATGCACTCACCTGGACCTTTGTGGTACAGACAGGATGTGGAGCAGCCCTGGGAAGGTGGCACTTGTTAGGTTATATTTGTACTGTCAGGATATGTGGGGCTCTTGGCTTACATCAGGTTTGGTAGACCTCAAGTTTCATGTGGTCACAGTGTCAGGGGAAAGAAGGCCTCTGCAGAGTCCTGGTCCCTGAAGTTCAGCTTCCCTCTCTCTATACGATTACTACATCTGTTTTGCTCAGCACTTATTTCAAGCTTAATTATAGTTTAATTATTGACAAGGAAAACGAGAGGAGAAAATGAACAACTAATTTAAGTTTCTGTGTACGGAGAGCCCTGCATCTCCTGACTGGTTTTCATCTTCTCAAAGTGCCAAGCTGTGACCTGGGCAGAATCTACTTCTGACACATAGACCAGGTCTTTTGTTTTTCTTTCTAAAATCCCTCATCAGACCAGAGTAGAATAAATGATGCTAAGTACTAGAGATTCTGTTTTCTAGTCAAGTCCCAAACTTGGACCAGGACAGCTTACCTGTGCCTGTTGGTAGTGAAGGAATTTTCTGTGAACAATTCTTTCATTCCTGCCCCTTAAGTACTTTAAATACCATATGGGACTTACTTAAAGTCCAATTTGACTTTATTCTAAATGCAATCTTTATTTACAAAACTTGAAGGGCACTTTTTAAACTTAGCAGTGTCCAAGAGTCGTCCTTCTGTGTATTTTTCAGCTAGTTCCTAAGAAGCCCTTCCTATCCCAAATGTCACATGATGTAAATAAAGATGGGTACAGGTCTCAGACTAAAAACAATAATGTCATCATTTTATTTTTGGAAGAAAGCACCACAGAGAGTCCATGGGAGATGATTTTAGGCTCTTACGCTGTGCCCTGAATCATGGTGTCTCCATACATATGGGTGCAACTGTCACATAACAGAAGCTAAACATCCTTTGGTATAAATGAAATGACAACTTTTAAGGAAACCATACAGGATTTCTATTCTACTTATTGAAAGAAAATTCAGAAACATGGAAACAAGATATATAATATGTCAGGGTAGACAGAAATTCAAAAGTAACAGTTATTGGTCAAATGGGCATGTTGGGAATCATAACAGCCCAGGCTGCTGTCCAGACTGTAGGTTGCTCCTCACAACTCACAGCTCAGCCCCACTGTTGAAGACAACATCTGCACAGTTCATTAAAATGGAGAGGTCAAGTTGGTGCCTGTATAGAGGCTTCATACTGATTTTTCAGCTTCTTTGATGCAGGAATGTACTCTATATGGTCTCAAAAGAGAAACATAAACTCCAACCCAGCCACAAACCCATTATCTACAATGGTTTCTTGCCTGCAAAAAAAATACCAGGGCAATGGTGAAACAAAGCTTGTAGCAGCAATCAATTGATAACTGATTTGGCCTAAGGTGCCCATGAGATGAAACCCATGCCCAACACTGCTCAGACACCCAAGAACCTCATAACAGATTCACCAGGGATCTAGAATAAAACTAAGTGCTAATGGTCTAAGAAAAGAAGAAAATGTAGTAATAAAATGACTCCTAATGATATTCTATTGCATTCATAGATCAGTGTCTTGTCCAGACATCATCAGAGAATCTTCCTCCTGCAGCAATGAGAACAAATACACAGACCCACAGACAGACAATACACAGAGAATGAGAGACCTTGGAACATCCTTAAATGGGATGTCTCCATCAAATTCTTCTCCTCAGAGGTCAGAGAATCTTGTAGAAGAGGAGGTGAAGGAATCTTAGAGCCAAATGAATTAGTCAAAGTAATTAGCCATCTCTTTTTCATTTTTAGTAATATCCTTATCTTCCTTAAGTATTTTATAACTGTTCAGATTAATGTCCAAGTGACCCAGAATTGAATTGGTAATCTTTCTACCTTTCTTATATTTTTTTAAAGTGTGTTTTGGGGCCTCTGTCCAATACTTCCTCATCTAAAGTTCTTTCTCCTGAAAGCCAGGGCTTGTACTCACAAACAACTTGAAAACAACTTAGTATCTGAATCTGAGTTTTTAGTAGTTGTTCTCCTCCTTTCTTTAAAAAATGAAGCAGAAGTCAGCATAAGACGCAGCCTTCCCTGGTTTCTGCCTCATTATTCTCCCTCATCTCCTTCCGTGAGGGTCCCCACTCTCTGATTTCATAGCCAACTTCAGGTCCCTTTTCAGGCACCACTTGTCACCCTCCAGAGGTAGTGGGACCTGGGAGAATGAGGTGGACTGGAGACTCATGCAACAGCCAACTTTATTCAGAGCAGCAGACAAGTTATACTCTGAGGGTAAGAAAGTTCATATGAGGTCACGCTGTATACAATGGCAAAGACAAGCTGAGAATGACAAAATCACGTTCTTCACAGAAGCACACAAAGGACTTTTTAAATAATTAAATGATTATGATACCAAACAATAAGCGGCAATAGAAAATAAACCCACTCCTTTCTGCTATGCCTGGATGGAGTGTTGAAACATTCCAAGAAAATTTCTGTGATTTGGAGAAACCCAAAGAGAAGATGTTTGTTCTGTTTGCTTGGAGTGTTTCCACAAGCACTCAGAATTCTCAAACTACCCCATTCCTGGGTCTTCTTTTTAAATGGAGGGAAGGGTTTATTTGATTTATGCTTCACATCACTGTTTATCATCAAGGCATCAGGACAGGAACTCACCTAGAGCAGGAACCTGGGGGCACGAGCTGATGCAGAGGTTATGGAGGAAGGCTGCTTACTGGCGTGTTCACTATGGTTGCTCAGTCTACTTTTGTATAGAATCCAGTGCCATTTGCCAAAGGATGGTACTACCATCAAAAGGCTGGGAACTTCTCCATCAATCAGTGATTAAGAAAATATCCTGCATTTGTATTTTATGGTGGTGTTTTCTTGAGGGTCTTTTCTCCTTTTAGATGACTCTAACTTGCATCAAGTTGGCAGAACTAGACAGTCCATGGTCATTGGTCGCCATGAATGAGTGACTCTAAGGTCCACAGAATACTTTTGGCACAGTAGAGTGGTAGCCTGCCCTATGGTAATGGTAATGAGAGAGAATATTTTTTGAGGTTTAAAACACTGAGTTTATTTTTGTATTTTCAAACTGGAAATTACGCATTGTAACTCTTGATCAGGCTAAGAGTAGGCTCCAGTTTTTAGTTTTGAAGGTGGCATAGGCATCCGTCTTCGCCTACAGAAATACTTGAGCTATATCTAGTGACTGGTATTTCTTTTACAGAGATCATTTTACTTTACCTCTAACAACTCTAAAGATCAACTTCATACTTACAATGAACTGACTTCTCAGTCACTTGGACTCACCTTCACAAAACAAGATGCATACCCCAGATTCTGCTAACAAGTGTTTTCAACCATTTAAAATGATATCTCATTTGGGAATTATTGATTTAGCATTTATTTTCTGTGTCAGTAACTTTACCATCTCATTATAATCCTATGATAGTCATGGCGTTATTGGAGACTGTCTGTTTATAAAACTATCAGTTCCTTTAAGTTGGAGTTGATGAAGTTCTGCTTTTGTAACCTTGTCTAGTGATGTTATTTTTGTGGTCTTTGTTTTATACTTTATGCTGCTCTAATGACATTCTTAATATAGGCAGACTATAAATACTAGATAAAGAATTGGTTAATGAATCATGAATCAAGACTGCCTCACAACATGTCAGACTGATGGATAGGTTCCAAGTCATATACAGTATTAAATTGATATACAAAGTTGGAAGAAAGATATTAAATATCTGCCATTTTCCTCTTTTAATATTTCTTCTCTAATCATGTCAGCCTTATTTTTTCCTGAAAGCATTTATTTTAACAATAGATGTGTGCTGGGCCATAGTGACACAAGATTGAAAAAATAAATAAAACAAGGTTAAATGTCACTTCAGCCTGATCTGGCTAGGAAAGCAGACAAGTGTTGTAGAGCTCCAGAGTCTCACCAACCAGCCTGGGCTTGGGATGAGCAGGGTAAGGTATGGGAGAAAATTTCCAAAATAGAGATAAGGTCCACAGGGAAAACAGGACTCCGTGTTTAGATAATCCCAGCTGAGAGAGTGAGAATTGGGTCTATTGAGCTAGCACTCAAAATTTATACTTGACAAATATGTATTGAGTTTCTGATGAACAATATGAGCTTGGCAAATGGAGTGGAGAGACAGAATCTCGTGGGGACGTTTTCACAGCTTTGCCTAAGATTCCAGTCTCCACTTTTTCCTGCCTTAGCTGCTTACTGACTTGGGGAGTGCATAGGAGGTAGAATCTTGATGGAGGCTTGGGATCTGTTCTCATGCAGCTTTTCTGTGTGTTGTCACCTGTGTTGGAGCCAGAATTTCAGGTCATGAGGGTGCATTTGAGTCTCCCATGCCCTATATTCTGGTATTCTGGTATTCATGTATTCTGGTAATCCAAGTAATCAGGTTCACACAACTCCGCTTAGATGGAACAAATTCCTTGCACAGTTTTTGCCCTAACAGGGGTAAACAATTTTTTTAATGTCTTCTGAGAAAAAGTCACATGATGGGAAGAATTTGAAGGTGAAGACTATAAAGCTCTGAGTAGCCACAGTTTCATATTCTTGGTTTTAAGGAGGAAGCAGCCTCCAGGAGGTTCACAAATGGAGGCAGTTTCTGAGGGCTGTAGGGTACACATCACACTCTGAAGGCTCTATTCTCTCTTTGATCAGGTTTCACTTATTAGTAAAATTATGTGGTAATTGTCTATATGCAGATGACTTATATCATTTAGCATTATGTCACACAGATCAATGCTAGTGATGGGAAATGTGTCCAGCTTAAGAAAATGATGAAGTCATTTATATTAATCCATCTGTCCAATCTCATGTGCTTTTCCTGAAGGGCATAATTGAATCTGATATCCAGGATGCCTTTACTATTCTCTATTTATTTTGAATTTTCACCATATATTAAGTTTTAATTTATGTTATGATCAAGCTTTTATTTTATATTTTTTCAAATATACTCTTTTTTCAGGGAAAAATTCACAATACCAACTTTGTATGCTACTCAGAGACCAGACCATCCTAGTTCATGCTGTGTCAACAGTTATGTATCTTCTGTCTGCTTTTTAATTTTAAATTAAAGTTTTTGTGGTGAGTTCAAGTGTGTATGTCTCAGTATGAAAATGGAGGTCTGAAGACAACATGTGGGAATCAATTTTCTTCATCAGATATAGATGAAATTGTCTCACCTGTTGGCAGGTGCTTTTACCCAGTAAGGTATCTCTCCATAACCCTCTCTATTCTTAATGTTGAACGCTGTCTCCTTCATTCAGATTAAACACAACTTTTTTTCTCCATGTTCTCACATCACTTACTTTTGTGTCAAGTTATACAGACCGATTGAGACAGTGTTTGTTGGTCTCATCTTTCATGTCAGTTTCTGGAAAAACAGCTGTAACAGAAGAGAGTAAGACTCAGAAAACTAAAAGATATGCCCTACAAACAAGTCACATTTTATGAGATGTGAGAAGGATCTGCAGGATGGTCAATAGACCTGTTCTGCGTGCAGAGAACCCTGGTTCCTTAATCAGCACTCACAT